CGTTGAGCCGCACGGGTTTACTAGTTCAATTATATTTTTTTTAATAATTTACTTCGTAACGTGTAACACTACTTAAATTAAGACCAGTTTTAATTTCTATTATAGTTTACTCTTTTTTATCCGTCCAGAGTACATGCTGGTTATTGTTATTTTAATTTATCATTAAAATAGAATAGAGTAATTATGTTTGTATTTATTGGTAATCCGGAGGCTAACATCAACCGAAACGATTCTTAAACCATTACTTTGGAAATAGCCAAGTAAACTCTGATTAAACGAATTTGTGCTTGTCTAATCAGTTAGGAATAATTCATTATAGGAACTTAAGGGTAAAGGTTTTCATTAGATACATTTTATGTCGGCAATAATACAGTAAAAACAATCGATTTACTACTAGATATTTCCAACAATATACTAATACGACAATGTACTTTCAGAAAAGCCTAAGTAATTTTTATACAAAAGTATTATTATATTCAAACAAAGCCTATGTAAACAACACTGACTCGAAGCATAGCCGACGACCAGCGCGTTGCAGACGCCGGGACTAGCGCCGCCATCTTTGTCCGTTTCGTCGGCTAGTCAGACTGCCACGGTCCTGCGCTCCGAGTAGCGCTTCTATTTTGTTATGTGTTCGCTGGTGCTATCTACACTCATCCGTCGCAGTTCCGTCAGCCGCGCTGCCGGCGTTCATCACTCAATATCAGATTTTTACCGATATTTTTAGATTGTTCGGACGCCTGACGGACGTGTTTGAGGTTAGAAAATATTACTTTTTTATTTACATGATCGAGTTTATATTTTAAGTAATGTTTGTAACAATCAACAAGAAGGACGATGAAAATTTGATGGAATATTGTGTTTTAATTCAACATTTTTTACTGTAACAACACTGTAAATAAAGTGACGGAAGATTGACTGAAACCTAAATGACTGACAGTTTGACTGAGAAATTGCGGATGCAACTGAGACTGAACAGTCTGGGACGGAACTGTACCGTAAATGATATGTGTGAATCGACCTTTTCCGTGACCTAGGCCTACACTAATTGCCACGTATTGCAAAACATATCTTAGTTATTTATAATTATTTATTTATCTCGGATTGTCAATGTTGAGGTGTCATTACGTTTTTCTTATAGTTTACAGTAAAAAGGGTGTTATTATGTTTTTCGGCTTCAAAATTATTATTTTGAAAAAAAAGAAAAAGATGGCCGCCATCTTGAATTTTTACATTGGACAGATTGGACATTTTTACAAATGTTAGTGACATTAGTGTTGAGAATGATGCAAAATTTCAGGGTTTTATGTAGGCCTAACACGGTTAATAACATTAACATACGGTTATATTAAATTTGTTATATTATTAAAAAGTAAACAATATTGTAACATTTTTGTGTAGGACTAATAAGACGTAATTTGTAAATATTTTGACGTAATAAATGTAATTTTGATGTTATTTTATTTAAGAAAAAACAATATTACAAAACCTAAAAATAAAAAAGTTGCGGCTCTGCTAGTAACCATAGACTTACAGACGATTTAAATTTGACATATAAACCTGTAATTACCCTGAAATAATACCTTAAAATGTTGATAGAGAGTAACAAAACACCTTATTCGGGCCCGTGACGTCATTGAGTTTATGTTCATGATCCATACCGTTTCTGTTCTAATAACCGTGGTCCTATTCTATTAAAATTACGGCCACTGGCTACAGTTATCTTAACAGACATAATAACTGAATATCTCAGTAATAACTGATTATTAAAAAAAACAACTATATTACTATGGAAAACCACCGATGAAGGTCCATAAGTAAAATTTTAAAGTAATGTCAATTAGTAAATACTTTATGTACTATGACGAAAAAAGGGAGCAACACGCTGCCAAATAATTGGCTTTCAATCATAATAATATAATCGAAAATGTGAAAAAATACAAAAATAAAATCAATGCATTGCGAAAATAAATGGTCATTTTATCGTCCTCACTACAACAATCAGGAATCAGCTGATATAGTCTGTTGCACGAATTATACAAACACAAAAGATTTGTAGAGGGATTATGAAAGTGCATTGACACCCACATGGTTCAAGAGAAGTACCTAACTATAATAATACTCTTATAGGTTGTAATTTACTGTTGCATATAAGTAACTTTCATTGCAATTCATTTTTGCGTACAGAAAGTAGGGATGACATCGATTTAAAGTAGCTAAACTTGTTATTTTAATCGTAGGTAGTTAACATTGTTTATTATATTAATCTTAACACACAATCATTGGAACACTAAATAGATGGAATAGCTGGAACATAACAGTTCATTAGGTAGTACAAGATTCAAGTACACCGTAGTTGCGGAGAGATAATTATGAGGTTAAATGATATATGACAGGATTTTAGTTGGGTGAAGTAGCTGTCAAACATTTTGGGCGATTAGCGGAAAAATTGTATTTACCCAGTTGTTAGTTTTTGTTAGGCCTACTTGTTCATCCTCGTTTATACTTTAGCTTGTATTGAGAAGCACAATTATGTTTTTGTCTATTATTTCTTAAATTAGGAACAAGTAGATAAAATAAATAAATAAATAGGGTTGACATTTAATGCCATTACAATATGCATGTTTATATGAGTAGGTCTACGAGGTTAGCATAGTACGTCACTAATATTCTTCCTCTTCTTCAGTTTTTTGCATTGTGGAAGGAAAAGTTTTCTATGGGTGATTATTTATTTGTATAAACATTTGAATAGAGGCCAATGACGCATTTGTATTTTGCATTTGAACTTTATGTAATGTGCTTTTCATTTTCAGAAACTGTACAAATAAAACAAAATTTGAAGTGTAACTAACTAAAATAAATTTAAGTGTTTAAAAATTATACTCTATTACAATTAAATTATTTTGTATCAGATTTTGGCAAAGAAAGGAACAATACAAAAAAATGAAGTATTATAAAATACTACCAAAGTTTTAAATGTTATTACTTCAAATGGTTCAATTTCCACATTATTATCATTGCATTTATAAAAAAATCTAAATATCGTAGAATAAAAAATCTTTAAAATTGCATACTCATGAGCTCAAACGGACACTAAATTAATCAGTAGTCTTATTAATGTTAATGCTTAGTTGTTAGTAATACCTTTAACAATTGCAAGGAAAAAGCGAGCTGAAAATCGTAATGTCTTTGGTAAATTAATGATTCCTTTTAAAACGTAAACATTTAAGTAGTCCAGTAAACGTGTTTTGCAGTTCGAAGTTTTTGTAAACTTTAGATATAACTGATATTGGTTGTGTAAGAAGACGATGAACGTTTAAGGGAGTTAAATCTTAAACCAGCAAATTATTTAAAATTAAAATTACAATTTTTCAAAACTAAAAAAGTTATATCATAAAGTAAGGAAGACATGTTATTTTTTGGATATTCGTTAGAAATAGTCAGTTAAGACGGATATACAAGTATGCCGTTTACATTTCTTATTGGCAATACAGTTTAAGGAGTAAAAACTTTAAACCAGAAAAGTTTGAAGAAATATTACAAATATTTTATTTAAAAAAAAAAAAAATCGTAGACGTGCCCAAATCAAAACCTAAAACCACTAAAATTTTTAAAAAAGTTTCAATATTTTAAACACTACTTTCCATAAACTGAACTGCTATTGTTAGGTCAAGTGATGTCTTAACGTTGTTTCCACTACGAAAAATAAAGTAAACATTGTATAAACATTGATAAGATTGATAGATTAGATTACACGAGCTTAACCTAAATACCAGTGTCCTAACACTATGGCCCTAACCTATAACTAGACAACAGGAGTGCATCTTACCGCTAGGAAGACGAGAACCAAAATGGCAGTAATCCTGTGACCCATATTCCAAATTTCACTAATCCGTTAACAAATCAATAAAAGGTCCATATAGAAAATTGTCTTTCGGCGCTTCGAAGGAGCACCGTGCACTGTGCTCGCGGTGACAGATTAAAGACCTCTTAATTTACAACACTTGATAATGGAGATATACAGCCAAGTCGATAAATAGACTCGTGCAGTAGAACATCGGAGGGCGAAGGAAGCACTGTTGTACTACTGTGCTTGATGGTTAAAACTACTGATACTTTTAAAATGATTTAGAGGAGATTTGTATAAAAAAATAAAAATAAAAAAAAGCTAAGATGCTAACCTTGATCAGCTACGTTTCTGATCTGCACAACATTATTTGTATGAGACAGAATTAACACAATATTACAATGAGTTCTTAGAAGCTACATGAGTATAAAAACGTTAAAAACGTTCAAAATTAATATTCAACTCTAGATTACCTAACTAAGATCAAGATTAACTCTTTAACTAAGCTACACACTTATTTTCATCAGTTAAATTTATGTTTTAACCATAGATTTCCTAAAGATTGATGTCCAGTTATCTAAGACGTACTATGAAATAATATTTTTTAAATTACTGCAATCAAACGGTGTTATAAATGTTCTGTTAAATAGTTTTCCTCTTACAATCCGTATTTTGTAGGGGAAAAATGTGTTCACTAAATGTTAAAATATTTTTGAAACCTCAATTTAACTACAACATTCATTTATAAACACATTATGTGGAAGATTTTAAGAGGTCATTGTCGAACGTCGTTAGTTTATGTATAATCTTTTTGTCATGATAAATCATATAAGTAAATATGTTAAAAGTAGAAAGAAAACTACGTCCAATGAGAGTCAAAGGGGTTTTGGAATCCTAAAAAATGGATTTAAAAAATTCCATTTCTAATGTCATTTTGTGTACATTTTAGGAAAATATATGTCTCTAAACATTTTGCCTTAAGCAAAAAAAAAAAAAAATAAAAAATAAAACAATAGTAATTCCATAATATGGATGTATACACCAGTATGTGCTTTTGCTAATAAAAGGAATAACCTATAACCTTAATAAGTCCTACTATTTAATTTATACCAAACATATTTTTTTGGGAAACAGGAAAAAGGTGTCTTGAAAATACAAAAGGGCAACAATAAACATTTATTAATTTTGCTAGTAAAAAAAATCTCGAAGGAATACACTTTTAACAATGCCGTTTTGTTTAAAGTTGCACTAAACTGTTTGGCTACGAAGAATTAAATACATAAATACATAAGATTTCGTTCTGTACAAAAGCTGTACAGGTTAGTGAGACCATCCCCTTAACTTTTTTGTGTCTTTAGTTTTCTTCTTGGCAAAACTGTACTACCCGAGGAGGGCGGTGGGCACGTTGATGATGTTGAGGAACTTAAGCACGATCGGTAAACTTCCGAGGAACGTCTCCAGGGCGTTGGTGCCGGTGAGGGCCCCCAGGAGAGTGGAGGCGTCGGAGATGGGCCCCAGGAGGCCCCCGAGTAGGTTGAGGACCAGGAACACGATGCTCAACACCAAGGCCAACACCAACTCTATGATCTGTACAAGGGCGTAGAGAAAACCGGCGTTCCCTTTGTAATAACAGTTCGAGCAGCCTTCCGAATCGTATTGAAAGGGGAAGAAAAACGGCTCAGGATCCGCCAATGGTTCCGGCTCGGGGTCCGGCGTCGGCGCGGTGAGACACGGGCCCTGCAACAAAACCGGTCAGTTAGTACAAGGATACACAGGGCCCGGTCTATAACTATCATATATACTCCTAGGATCCATACTCCCTTATGGATCACCTGAAGACAATTTAGGTCTCGCCCGGCTTACGTAGAGGGCATTTTGTTGACCTGTCATTCCTTGTTGTTTAAATACAGTGATTAAAAAATCATAAATGTAAAACGTGTACATCTGAACCACCGTCTCATAAAACCTACAGACTAAGGGAATTTCCATTTTCCTGATCTATATTTTAACTAAAATGTTTCGTTGAACATGTCAGATTTATTCAAATAACATTACATTTTATGAGTACTTAAGTTTACTGCTACGGGGAAGGGAAACGGCGTTGTTGAATAATAATGTTAATGGTAAAAAATGTAAAGAATAAATTTGACAAATTTGTTCAAAACATACTCATGAACAAGAAAACTACAAAAGTGTTCATTTTCTGCATACAAATAAAATAGCAATTTTTAACGTACAGTTTTTGGAATTTTCCGTAACCTTCAATTATACAACCATGCTTCCGTATACAGAAATGTTTGTTTCTTTTAGATTTACACGATCGTTGTTATACAAATTGAGCATTTTTAAAATACACAAATTTTGAATATTTCAAACCCTTTAAAACCTAAAAAACCCCGTTTCCATGACCCGATCTTTCGGATTCACGAACTAATTCATGTTTATGCCACCCTACAATCCATGCCAAATTAAACACATTTACAAATTTTATTGAATAGTGTTTTTGACTTCAGGAGGCATCAAAATGGAAAACAAATCGGTCCTTGGTCTAGGTCTAGAGAGACCTACGGTAATAGCTTCTTCCCTATAGGGGAATTCGCTCAAATGAAACTATCTAATTACAGTTAGTTGCTTGTACTCTGATACTAAGTCCAATGAGTAAAAAAGAGGTCCTAAAATCTTGGCTAAAATTGGAGTTATTTAGTTAACTTCATAGTATTAAACGTAATCAACATGAAACACATGAAAACCGGCGTCACAGTTTACATCCTCATATCCTCTGAGTACGAGTATGGTTGATTATCCTGAGTATCAATAGGTGTGTTTCGTGGAATATAGCTACAGTGAGCTGTGCAAGAGTACCAAGTATAAAACAAGGACCATGTGAAAATGAGTTACCGTTCAAAAACTTCTCCGAATTTGAATTGGAAAAAGATTATAGCTGGATATTATAGGTGTATAGTTTGAGTGGACCTAATTTAATTGCATCATGTAATTGTATTCCTTAAATTGAAGCTACAGCATTCAGGGAGATGTCGTTCACAAACAACCCTTTAAATTAGCAGACATCAGGTACCTACATCGATAATTCTATACCTCGGAAAAATCCATCCAGAAACTCTTGTCCTATTGGTCATGTTAAACACCTATTGGCATTTCATGGAACATCTTTCTTTTTGTATAAGGCAATTTCATGGATAAGATTGATCAAAAGTACTAGACTGTCAAAAGATACACCATATATTGTTCTACCTGCATAGCTGTTTAACAACTTGTTTGAAAGAATATACTACATTTTAAGTCTCGGCTCCATTCAGGATGAAGTAGTTTGAACTAAAATTTCATTGACACATCACCAAAAGCTGCACTATACCTAAGTTCGTCATGTTAAGTTTTTTTTAAATATATCAGTAACGGGAAATCGTTTTATTTTACAGTAAAGCACCCTACAGTTCACGTAGCCCGAGTTTTAAAGTTTGATTCCTATAAACATAAAAAATATAAAACGCGTGTGTAATTTACCTAAAGGCAAACAGGTTCATCTTAATAATCTTAATCTCTTTCTACTACAGTTCTATGTTGTAACTAACTACATTTTTTAAACCACACTATACTTTAAGTTAAGTTTTATGTTAAGATTATTTTTCAGCTTTCCATAATACCAGAGGATTCATATTACTCTGGGACAACAAATATATGTAAAGTTAAATTTTCATTAGCAAAGTTATATTATTTAGTCTGCTTGTTGTCCCATAAACGGGTACTATAGTAAATATTTTCTATTTTAAAAATAACTGTACTTTCTAAAAACAGTGCATCATAATTGTGATAAAAATATTGTAAATACTATTCTCCAGGACTGAGTTAAACTAATAACGAGGACCAGATAAGGTGAAAAGAAACAATGACAGATTTTCAACCTGACAAAAAATACGACAAAACAAAAAATACCACCGATGCATCAAACCTGCAGACTAAGCTAATTCCCATTCGCCCTATTAGGTTTTAACGTAAATATTTCCTTAAACATGTCAGACCGATCCCGTCTATTTAAATAACATTTGGTTTATCGAGTACATAGGTTTGCTGCTACAGGGAGGGTAATAAAGTGTGTTTTTAGGCTTAGTAAAAAGATTAGTATAAAATAAATAGATTTGACAAGTTTGATCAAAATATATCAAACACTTTTGAAAACTGGGCATAAAGCAGTTGTACACAAAACAGCTTGGAGTTCAGTCTTTTTAACATATTCAGATTTGATTTTCTTTGATTACTTTTCAGATAAGTTACATAATTGTATTAATGGGTCCTATAAGATTATAAATATAAAATCAAAGTTAAAAACCCCTTTCATGAATGCAACTATAAACGAAATATTGAAATAAAAAATAAACTTTATAGAAGTTACTTGAAAAAAAAACCAACATTAGAACAGTGATACACAAAGTTTAAGAATTTACTTCTAAATCAAATAAGATATGCGAAAAATAAGTAATTTTCAGATCAGTTAGAAAATAGCATGAAAAAATAGCTAAAACTAAGTGTAATTGTTAAAGGTTAACAGATGTAAAGCAAAAAGAATTGTATTAAAAAATGAAAGTGGGCAAGTAATCGACAACACAAATGAGGTAAATAAAACCTTAAATATTTTTTTTGCTCAGTTGCTGACGGTTTGAGAAACAACATTTTATTTGATATGGCAAAAATCAATAGTGTGTTCGACTCTTACAGGAATAATTTGGTAAGGACCTCGAATGTAGATTAAATTTTTCTCTATGTGAGGAGGAAATAATGACAGTTATAAATTAATTTAGTAATAAGAAAGCACCAGGTTATGATAATTTAACTCCTTATATAATTAAAAGTATATCTATTGTACATGTTCTAGCATATTTTTAAAATTCAAGTTTAGAATCTGGAAATTTCCAGGTAAACTGGAAAAAAGCTGTTGTTACACCATTATATAAAAAGAATGATAGATGCATACTCCAAGTAATTATAGACCAATAGCCCTCTTAAAAATTTTCTCAAAAATAATTGAAAAAATAGCAAAATTTAGGGTGGTAAATTTTGCAAATCGGATTACAAAGCAAATAAACACTAAATCCGACCTTATCGAGCATATGTCAGACATCTACACTTATGTAAATAAAGGTAAAGTCTGTGGAGGTATATTCGTAGAACTTATAAAGGCATTTGATATGGCAGACCATGGAATCTTGTTGAATAGGATGTATCATGCCGTAATAAGGGGAGTTGCTCTAAAATGGTTCCGTTACTATCTGTCAGGACGAAGCCAAACCACAAGGGCAAGGTGTTAGTGAGGAAGGCCAAGTAAAGCATGGCATACCCCAGGGCTCAGTTTTGTCCAGCCCCTTGTTTATGATTTTTATAAACAACTTTTGTAAATTTAAAGGTAATTTAGTTGCTTTTGCTTAAAATACAGTCCTGTCATATTAAGCAAACTCTTTAATGCGAGGTAAATACAAAAATGCTTGAAAACCCCCTGACGAAAATAAATACAGTTTACATTGTAAAAATAAAACAATAGGTAGCCAAATTTGAGCAGATATGTTACAGGCAGGTTACATCCCCGATCTTCCCCCATACACAAATAAATGAACAAATGAAGTGTTATTTTTTAATTTGCTTTGACTATGTTTTTCGTCTAGAAGCAATGTACTTGTAAAACTAATCTTGTGATAATACATTTATACCTAATGCATTTCGCATTTGTGAGAGAAGTGCATTTTTGATTAAAGTTCACGGCATGAATTCATGAAATCTATAAATATTTCCTTTCAAGGAAAGTTATCAAAGTTTCTGTTGCTTATTATCATAAATTAAGTTAACTGTTACAATTACTATGATACAGAGCAGAGTACACCAGTAAAATTGGCCAGTGTACAATGAATCATACTTCCAATAGGGATAATAAAACGTAAGCTTGATTTTTTCACTGATTATTTATCTGTAATAGTCTAATGGACTAAAGTCTAACGTTTCTGCTTTGTTTATTATCAAACCCGTCAATCCGATTCCCATGAAAGTTTGGCATCATTTATGGCTATATGAAAATTAGTTGGAAAATAAGCAAACATCTATAGGTTGATCTTTGGATGGAATTTGTAAATCCTTTAAGATTGCTACATATTACAAGACAGATCCTAATTTTAGCAACAAATAAAAGTGGATTCAATACTCACTTGGTATTTATTTCAACTCAGAGGAAATGAGCAAAAACTGAAATATCTTACTAATGTGAGAGTAATAATTTGATTTTCATACTTGACTTGTTTTTGCCATCTAAATCTATTCAGCTACAAACACAACCAAACCCACTTCATTAAGAAAATTACTTTATTCGCTAAAAATCACGTTTCAATTATCACACTAGAACAGTTCGTTAACAAAATGTTTTAGGACTGTGTAGGCTACTTGTTAGTTTCTAAATATAGATGTTTAATCATAGAAGTGAACATTTCATATCCGACAGAACAAAGATCAAGGAAAATATATATTTAACAAATTCCCATTTAATAGTGTAATATTAATCGGGGAAATGAATGAGTGTTAAGTGTTCTTTTCGTGTAAACCGTATTGCCTTTATCCTAGAACTTGAACAAACATAATTTTAAAATTTTAGACATTATCCTTTTAGTTTCTTCAGATTGGCCCCCAAATATACTCTAATCACATTCCGGTAATTTTTAACTGAACTTCCATCGCATCACAAC